AATGTTTATGACATACAATAAAAAGACATGTAACAAGGTCCCTACTCACGGTGGATTTCTACAAGTATGCAAAAATCATTCGGAAAGTAACAAGTTTTTCAGAGATCTTTACGGTCGTCCAGCACCAGACAATGCTGACTACATACAACGTAAAAAGGAAGGAGAAATATTTCCTATGGATTTTAAGTTAATTAGAAATCCTAATTGGACCGAGAATGCTAAAAAACCTGTTGTTTTTGGTGTAAAAGAACAGGTAAATTTGTTATGATAATTAATTTATTTTATTTTCGATATACAATTTAAACATATTTCAGTTGATAATGACATTAATAAATAAAAACGTAATGAATATCAAAATGTACGCGGGTAGAAATAAAAACACAATGCTAATAGATTTACCACGTCATATGATTTTAAAATGGATCAATTCAGTAGAAACTAAACAATCACGTAAATTAAAATATCAGTCATCGGAAGAAGAGAAAGAAGAGAAAGAAGAAGAAAAAGAACACTATAAAATGTGTGAAATATTTCGGGCAATGAAATTGGATCATGAAAAGCCTTGTTCAAAGACACCAGAAAAAACTGCAACTAATAAACCACCCAAAAGTTTGGAAATATTGCCGTATTCTTTAGATATGCCTTGTACTAGTGCAAGCATTAAGAACAGTGCCTTCCAAGAAGTCGCAATTGAAATGGAAAAAGAGTTTGATCGCGAATCGGATTATATGGATTCGGATTGATATATCGCAAATTAAATAGTTAAACATCACATTTTTTTTTAATTCACAACTAAACTTACACAAAAAAAAAGATGTTTGATATTTTTAATTTTAATTAATAACAGATATAAAAAATTTGTAATTTCTATATAAATTTCAAATAAAATGTGCACTGAAATTATTGCATTATTATGTTATTATTATTATTTAAAATATTGTCAATAGACTTTAAAATCTATTGACTTTCGTCATGGATTTAAAGTGATTCTATAAATTAAAATTTCTTAAGAAATAATAATGTGTATTCTAGTTCATTCATTTATAGTTTATCATCGGATATAATGTATTTACACAATGTTTATTACATCGGCTTTGGCGTCTTTAACCTCAAAACCTCAAGCAATTTTAGAGGTTTAGGAGGTGCGGAAGTTTCGATATTTAAGATGCAAATCATATGTGACTTGGAGGTCTTATTTATATCTCGGATGATGGAATGTTGATGCCTATGTATGTTCCTATAACTTAGTAAGTTGCTTTCAACAAATCTATAAGTACTTTACTTCGAAATAATTGTGCTCTATTTTTTCTATTCTAATTATTGCATGTCCAGAGTGAAACCCTGAAGTGCAACAGAAGTTTGAGAAGTTGCTTATAAACTAACATCTTTTTGTGTTTGGATAGGGATGATGACGTTCTGTTAAACAGTATATATATTGAAACTTCAAATCGTTTTTTTTTTTAAATTAAACTTCACTTATTAGGAGACAGTTTTCCTGGTCTCCTGTCGACAGTTACTATTTTGATAATAACGACCACTCTGTTATGATCCATAGAGTGTTAATATTGTCGGCTAAATTGGTTAGAATATTAAGCTACATAGAGATATCTCAAATATTGGGTAACACGTAGAAAATTGGAATATATCGCTAGCTTGACGGTGCAAATTCTTAATATATATGTATGCGGAAATAACAAAGTACTAGACTTGAATATAGAAATATAGCTTTAAAGTGTTGAGGCAATCAGAATTAATGCCGAAAAACGGCATTAATTCCAATGCATGTGGTGAAATATGACTAGGAGATTAAAGGTGATAACGAGTCTTATAATTGTGGTGCATAAGTTGAAGCATATAATTATGTTGATATCTAGACTTGTCGTCAGTGCGGAGAAATATATAATGAAATATGCATTTGCGTCTCAAAAACAACAAACGCATAGCGACTAAATTTTGAGGAACAAGGAATCGATCAAAACTCTATAACTAAAACTTAATTCTAAATCCACAATATGGTCCACAAATCAATTATATTGTAGGGGAAGATAGTAAGCCAGCAAACGGTCGTATTGGATTATGAAGAGAGCAGTTAGTGGCTTTATAGCAAAAATCTATTGCCGTCAATTTGTTTCAAGAATAACAACACTGGAAAATTTTAAAACGCAGTCTGGTAGAATTTTTCTTTAAACTTAGACGACTAATATTGGAGCCAAGAACATCAAAAACAGTTAGAAGGATGTGGAAAACGATATACATTATACAGAGAATGGTGCCAAAAAAATATAAAAATTGGAGAATATTTCTCGAAGTTCCGTGGAATGTTGTATAGCGGCTTTGATGAAGAAGAACACATTTAAGGTTTGCAAATTTTAATACAAACTTTTTATTTGTTCAATTATAGTTTTAGTGTACGTAAGTGTAGACACAAGATGTTACTAATATATTAACTGTTATATATTACTAATATATCAACTGTTAGATGTTACTTACATATGAAGTGATGGTTTGGAGTAGCAGATTAAGATTAATTTCAGTTCTACAAGATCATTAACAAGTTATATGTATTTCTATATAGATGCCTAACGCCATCGAAAATCAATAATAGCTCTAAAATAGCTTTTGCAACTTATTTGTCAAAATTCAACTTACTATATGGGCCATGTTAGATAGAATGCTATGGGCTTGTTAAAATTATCTATTTCGGGTTTTGACAAAAATGCATGTCATGTAAAGTGTCACAGAAATTGTGATCATTTGCTTCTAAAAGACACAAATGTTGACTGGATAACCCTACTTTAGCTAAGTGACGAGGCACAGTTAGCCTCGACTCTCATCACCAAATTGAAAACGATTTATTGTTTTTTCTCTCACTCTCAATTTTATGAGTTGAATCGAAAACAACAACAATTTTGCTCATTACGAACCCATGACACTCTATATAACATGTCCGTAATAGAAAGGAACATGATTTTTATTTGACACAATTAACTATTATGGTTTATTCTCTATGCATCTGTACATACGTTTAATTTATATATAATATTAATGACTTCTTGCGAAAGTGCTTTAGGCTCTTATTTTATCTTTATTTAAGAATAGAAATTTATGAATTCGTGGTGAATGGCAGATTAAACGGCGATCGAATATTCAACTTTTTAGTGGGTATTTGCAGGGACCGTAACAGTTATCTTAAAAAAAAATCACCTTATAGCTCTTATCATTTACATTTTAAAATAAAACTCAAAAAATAACAATTAAATTTGCTTTATATTATATTTATGAAAATCAATTATTTTCCGTAACTTTTATTTTTTCGTACAGAAATAACTCTTACAATCTGCTTTTTATTTTAAAACGCACAAATAACTGTTATTGTTGCGTTATAAAAATAAAAATCATGAATAACTCGCACTGGCCTGCCGAATATTTTTAAAATGGGAATACAAAATGCATTTTTCATACAGGGTAGTTATTTTTTTAATTCCATACAAAATGTATTAAAGACACAAAGACACAGAGAATTGAAATGAAATGAAATAAGTTTGCTTAACAATGTGTGTACATAAATCAAAATATACAGAGTTTGAAACTGTATCTTATATATAAAAATGAATCGAAAAATGTGTTGGTAAGCGTATAACTGAACAACGCCTGGACCAATTTGATCAATTCTTTTTTTTAAATATTCGTTGAAGTCCAAGGATGGTTTTTACGGCGAGAAAAAAAATCGAATTATTGCTAATTCCAAATTGGTCCAGGCGTTGTTGAGTTATGCGCTTACCAACAAATTTTTCGATTAATTTTTACATATAAGAAGACAAGAACATAAACAAAATAGATGAGTTTGTGTGTTGTAATAAGTTGTTGATTATTGTAGGTATGTTTATTAAATCCCCATGACTGCCTTTGCAGATCATTATCTCAAATATCTAAGCGAGTCACCCACTTTTTATATATTTGTCACCTTTAGGTTTCCACTGTCCCTTTAGACTATTTTCTAATCAGGTTTGAACCTTAAGTTCGTCTTTTAGCTTAAAACCCTCTGGCAGACATCCCAGTCAGGGTTTTTTAGTGGATCCCAGAAGGGTGGCCAAAGTTCTTGGAAGAGAAGATACTTTGGTCACCCGAGCTGAACCCCACACACCAGGGTGACTGTTCTGTTCACAATATTTTTTTTTACCCCGACTATAAAATAGGTAGGTACAAAAGACTACCACATTCCAAATCTGTTTGACAGAACGAAGTCTGTCGGATCTCTAGCATAAAATAAATATTACATTGCATTGCATCACATTCATTGTGTAACCGAGTACCTATTACATGTCCAATCTGGCATTTGGTGTAAATTGGCACACACTCTCGTTGACTGATCTACACGTTGACTGATTTCAAAAAGACTTTTGACGCGGTGTATGTAATAACTTCCAATGCGATATTCTGGATAATTATATTAAATCTTTGAATATTCGTGTACATATCGTGTTTTCTTTCCTCAAACATTATTGGAGGTATTAGTGAAAAATGTAAAAAACCAATTTAATTTTTCAAATCACAAAATATATAACTATTCATCCTAGTTTGTAATTCTGTATATGCACTAACTATAATTAAATCGGTTAAATTAAATTAAAACAATTTAATTCATGTCCTGAAATATGACAGCTTTACACCATTTAATGTGCCTGTCAGTTTTAATATTTCTGTCTTGGACATAATCCGTTGACATAAAGAATGTCTTCATCACACTTAGTATGAACAGTGAACAGCTTAGATTAATAGTAAATTGCATCCATTGATTTTTTCTCCAAAATTTGTATCGCGTCATAAAATTTTTTAATTCCATTTCTACAAATCGGCTAAGGGGTGAATGTTAAATTCTTTATTTTAATAAATTTTTTCAAATACTTTATTATTTTAAGTGTATTTTCTTTACAGTATTTTAATATATAAAAATATTAAATTTTTAATATTCATTTTTCTTTAATATTTCTATTATATTCCATGATATAATAACCAACAATTAAGGAAATAAATTTGAAATAAAAACGCAGAGAATAAACTTATAGGTTGAAACAAGAATAAAATATTATATTTTATATTACACTTGTGTTAAAAATTGATCGTTGGTCTAATCTTGGAAAATGAGATATGCAAAATGAGATCGACGCCACCTTGATCCAATGTGAAATTATATCCGCGCTAAAAGTGAACGGTAGTTTGTTAGAAGAACGTGGTTTTGCTTTTAATGATGGAAAATAGCGAAGATAATTCAGCACGTGGCTCTGGTAATGAGCCATCGACTGATACTGAAGAAATTGTTGACGAAGGGTGGTTGTATCATAAGACAATTGCCCATCGTTTGGAAATGGCGGCTTTAAAAGCTGAGTCTGACAACCTGGTTAAAGTAATGCATCAAAATTGTATAGAACCGGCGAAGAAAATGATAGATAAAGAAGTCGAAATTTATACCAGTTCTATTGACGAGAAAATGGAATTTTTTGAACAGGTAAATAATGTGTCAATGGAATTGAGTGAAACTCTGAGTAAGTTAGGTGGATTGATATTGGAAAAATGGGAGTCGCGCATCCAATATAATCAAATGTTTATGACATACAATAAAAAGACATGTAACAAGGTTCCTACTCACGGTGGATTTCTACAAGTATGCAAAAATCATTCGGAAAGTAACAAGTTTTTCAGAGATCTTTACGGTCGTCCAGCTCCAGACAATGCTGACTACATACAACGTAAAAAGGAAGGAGAAATATTTCCTATGGATTTTAAGTTAATTA